CTCAAATTGTATATGTGCTTTTCACTATTGCAATATACTTTCGCATGTTATGTACATGGATGTAATCTTGCAATTGTGTGAATCACGTAATCTATTGATTTCTCGTATTTGTCATTTTCAAAGTTTTGTCTGACTGGCTGTGGCTATTTTGTTTATATCAGACTAAAAAATTGAAATAAAAGTTGGCTGTGTGTTATGATTGTATTTTGGCAGCAAAAGTTGATGCTTGTGGCATTTTTTGTGAAGTGATTTTGTTTCAACATTAGCCCGTGTGAATTTATTTGCTTGTGACAATTTATTTTAAAGTGATTTGTTTTGACCTTAATGTGAGTGTATTGTTTCTAGATTTTTTCAAGAAACAAGTCACAGGTCAGCATTTTTTATGGGTTTCCAAGGGTGATGGAATTTTTGATGGTGACGTAAATTTGACACAAAGTTTCAACAAAAATCTGAAAAGTGTGGATTGATCTCACTGATTTTTTCATTTACAAATTGGTATAAGTGCAAAAGAAGTAAAATTGTATCCACTACGGACTGAATGTGTTCACATTCCATGCAAGTGACAGTTGCGAGGTGAAAGTGGACAAGAAGTCGGGCAAGTTCAACTAGTGTCATATCAGTAGTTTTTCCAACAAATTTCTGATCTAGTTAAACAAGTTTTGATAGACGTGCGGTAGGCAAAAAGCAGACTGAGGCACAGACAAATTTGACAAGCATACAGGATGACTTGATCGCAGAAGTATCCCTAAGTTTCATTGGACTTTGTTGACTCGATATGTGTTTACACTTGGCGAAGGAATCAATAGTTAGAAATCTATCTTGCAAAATGCTTAGTTTAGTTCAGGATGAGAGCTGAGTATGTGCCGGCAGCAGATTTGGCAAAAAAGCTATGTGGTTGGACAAACTTATCATGAAGATGATATTGACACAAGGCTTGGTCAATCTTCATTGTGACAGCCAGAGTGCTCTACATTTGATTGCGAACCATGATTTCGATAGCACAATGAAACACATCGACATTATGTATAAATTTATTGGAGTTTATATTATTTTTTATATAATTAGTCTATCTTGTGATGACTACGTCTTAGTTTTATGTAACTTTTGATATAAAAATGACATTGTGTTAGGTTTACTTCTAAAATTTTTCTTTGAGTAATTATATAAATTACAAAAGATATTTTTTCCTTTGGCTAGCAGTTGTATTAGTTATCTCTTTATATTATTATTATATCATATTATGATTAGATCTTAGTTTCAATTATCTTTTGGTATAAAGAAAGATTTTGCATTAGATTTCTATCTAGAATTCTTGCGGATTAATTATATAAGTTTTAGAGGTTAATGTTCTCTCTATGCTAGTAGGTTTATTAGTTAATTCTTTATATTATTACTGTATTATGCTATAGGTACGTCTTATGTCGAGTTCACTCTTGGTATAAAGAGTGACATTGTGTTAAATTTCTATCTAGAACTTTTTGCAAAATAATTATATAAGGTACGGAGGTTTTTGAATATTACGCCTTGTGTTAGCTTTCTTTCGAGAATTTCTTGTGGAGTAATAATATAGGTTAAAGAGTACTTTAACATGAGTAAAGTGGAATTTGTTGAGGTTAACTCCTATTCAAGAGTAATCTCGAACCTAGCTAAATAAAGCTAGGAAAATCGCCAGGAACAATCGTGAACAAACTATGTAGGTGCTTTTCACTATTGCAACATACTCTAGCGTGTTTTGGCCAAGGATGTAGAAGTGCATCTGGTGAACCGCTTTATTTATTGTGCATTCTTGTGTTTGTCATTTTGGAATTTCTGTGTGACTAGTTGTGGCTATCTTGCTTGTCTCAAATTAAAAATAATGACATCATGGAAAGCATAGATCTCCATATAATAGAAAGTCCCCACCTCCTAGGTTTTCAAAAAAAAATAGTGATCAACTTTTTGTTTCCTCGTATTCTTCAATATAAGTAAGCATGATTGATGTAAGACAACATGTACTAAACCACACATGAAGTAGATTTGAGGTATCATAGTTAATGGTGATTTTCTCCTATCTTCCTCTCTATCTTTACAGTTCTTCTACTTGTTCACATTGTTAAGTGATGTAGTAAACACCTAGAAAATAGGTGTTTTTTGGAAAAAATTTAAATTTTGAAATTAATATCTCTCCTCCAAAAACAAACTACGAGCTAAGATATTGGAAAATGAGGGAATATTGCTCGGTAATAATGTAAGTAAGTAAGTAAGCACGATCTTTAGCAAGGTCTACGAAAGGATGTTCATTCCCTGGAGATCCCAGTCTTTCATGGTTGGCCTGTTTCATGCCTTGTAATGCAACAGGAGCAAAGTTGGCCCCGCAGTGACTTAACACGCCATGCCAGCACAACTTTCGACCCCTCACGACCATCAGGAATGTCCTGCTTAAGTGCCGTGGCAGACTCGCACTCGTTCAAGTAAGACCCAACGAAGATGTCCAACGTGGGTGCCCAAGAGTCGGACCAGTCGGACGGCACGATTGTCGAAGACGCCAGCATCAACTCATCTGGCAGGTCTAGATTGCCAATTGGGTTACTCGAGCCCTTCTGTTCCGACATCCAACGACGGACTGCGCAGCATCGCTCGCACACTCTGAGCAGGTAAATTCCCGGATGGATGGACGACACTCGATGTCCACGTGTGCACCGATGGACGGAGCAGCGTCGTCGTTCGGCTTTACACGATGGTCGTGGAAGGGCCCGAGGCCGTTCTGTGAGTGAGTCGGACCGATGTGGCACTTTGGGTGAAGAGGATGCACGCCCCACGGACCGCGCCGGTTCAGCAGGTGGCCAGTCCCCAAGATAGAAGCCCGGGCCAAAGTGTAGCTGTCGTTGTGACAAGTTGACTTCGGCCTGCAATCGAAGTCATGTATCGGGCCTGACCGCATATTACCGGTTGGGTTTCACCCATGACCGACATCCTTTGTACATGCATCCCTTCAGCCAAGCGAAATCAAGATATCGGCTTGGGGCAAATGTCGCGGATCCCGTGGTGGGATACCGCGGCACCACATTCGCCAATGTGGTGCCGTCGCTATATTACGTCGATCTCGACCGGACGGCGGACAACTCCCGGTCAAAGCTCGATAGCCGGCATTCGGCTCTGGGATGTAGCAACTGGGAGGTACGGTATTGGACAAAGTTCTCGTATTTGCTGAACGTCCCTCCCTTTGTCACTACGAGCCTTATGAGATTCGAGGCTTCTCGAAGTCCATCGGGTGCCCGCAGGTGCGCATCGCCCCGTGCGGCAGTGGGTCATCTTTCTAGAAGGGAACAAATGCAAATCGTCTCGCACAATCTTGCAGATGCCATTTGGTGTGAATCCTCGAAATTGAACACGAAGTTCTGGAATGATTGCTGACGAAATCTGTTTGTTGCTCGGGGCCGGGTTTAAGCCCCGAGGCCCGTATTTAAAACGTTGGCTCTACTTTTTTAAGAGCTGCTTTCTTTGCCCCAGATTGGTTGTCTGGGGACATTGCTTGCACTAGGGGCGTGTTAGTCGTCGACCTCGTGTACCGTCTGTGAGAAATTCAAGCGCAAATGCCGCACGTGCGTTATGTTGTTGTTTGTTGAATCGGAAGGCGAAGACGCCAACGGAGATAAATAGATCCATTTGAAGACGAATCAAAAGAATGAAATACATGAAATATTAGAAGAAAGAATACTGATTAAGTGCTCGCATAGGGTTCAAATGATGTAAAGATTGTTCTGATGGGTGATGCTTGTAACCGTCTTTCCTTAAGAGTTGCATGCAATCGACATTCGAGGTGGAGTTGAAAGGTTAACGGGGATAGAGATGGACTCTCTCTTGCCTCTCTCCGTTGCTTTTGGCCGGCCTTAGGGCTAAGTTTTCTTGCTTGAAGTATCGTCTCTGTTTCCATCGCGTTTTTTTCACGCGTCTTCATATTTCCAGTTAGTCAAGTGCGGTAAGTTGAATCGATCAAGCTGCGTTGTAACTATAATCCAGCATACGCAAGTGAATGCATTCCCGCCAGTTGTGCGGTGATTTGTGACTTCTGAGTTTTGGTAAAATTTAAATTTCCAAGAAGATTAATTCACAAGCGGACAGTCGAGAGACAGGATCCATGCGAAATACCTACCTGTGTTTAGACGACAGAGTCTATAGATGCAAGGGGTTTGACGGTTGACAGCGCACTCAAGATACTGTTGGTTGCAACTGATCTGCTTGATATAGGTTCCTTTCTATTCCACCAAGGTGCCAAGCTTGAGGTTTCGAATCTTCATTCTAGCTCTGCCAAAGTATGCTGTCTCTTGGGTCCGGAAAATTTCAGAAGTAACGACGAAGGACAGAAAACCTGACCCTTTCTTTGACTTATTCCTTCCTGTGCTCTCTTCCTGCTACGGGATTCAAAACGTACAGCAAACAAAATAAGGCATGTACAGATGTTTCGATTGTGGTAGCTAGCTACAGACCGTGATAAGCTTACTGAACCCGGCAGCGCCGCATACTCTGAATCTGCCAATCAGTGCAGGAACTTTTGATCCTTCCTGATAAGAAGGTGCACGTACGTATGTAGTTTGAAACACTAAACACTCCTCACAAAGTCTCGGTTGAGGCGACAAGTCTATCCCACACCAATTTGCACGACTGATGCTCGGATATTGGTGAAGTGCCGACGGCGAACCTCAATCGGCTTTCTTCGCCGCAAGGTCGAAATCGCGTTTCACGTCTGAGGAGCAGCCATAGGCAGTCTACCAAGAAGCTTTCCAGATTCAAGATACAGGGCCGGATCCGGCTTTTGTGATTACCTCCTGAACCCTCTTCTCAGCAGTCAGATGTCAGTGGCTACTTGGAAAGCACTGCAAGGTGCATCAACAGAGAGCCCGAGTTTCAGTACAGACAAAGAGGAATCTTGACGAACATCTCCTAAAGCATTGCCTGATTGCATCTTGTGTTTGGCACAGGAACTTTCACAAAGACTTCATTCAAGTAACCATTGAAAGATGGGCACTGCTAGACAATCACCAATTCTAACTTTTCCACCAGAGTATGAAGAGTTACAACCAGTCACGCATATGAAGACCCGGAGACTAACTGACTGACCGCTTTCGCTTGAGGTCCCAGGTATGTTACAATTGCTAGAAAACATCTAATATAAGAAATAGGGTTGTACAGCTAAGTAAGGTTGTTCTTCATGGAAAAACCAATAATGGATTTCAACCCGCCGTGGGGGGGCTTCATCGTCGCTCGGTAAGCAGACTCATTGTATTCGGCTCTAAAAAATTTCCAATATTGTCTGAACGAATTTGGAGATTTCTCTCTTTGCTCAGCACCACCAGGTTGAAGTTCTGGTCTCCTTCCTAATCTGAAAGAGTGACCTTCACCGGCCTTCAATTTCCTACTATGATTGCCAGAAAGCAGGCCTGGAATCCATGAATTTCTGTCTGCCCTAAAACTGCTAAACTCCTTCCCTCGCAGGGCCGGAGTGTTGAAGGCTGTGCCTGGGGTCGAGAAGGACAAAGACCGGCAGTGCGGACTATTAACTAATGCGGATTCATTGCTGGTATTCCGCTCAGGCCTTAGGGCTCTAAATGAAGGTGACTCTTGCAATAATCGACGGAGAGACGACCGTCCGTCCTTGTCTTGTGTTGAGTTGCGATTGGAGGTTGCAGCAACAGCTTCACTTAGCGCATGGTCCTTTGAGGAAGCAAAAGTCACCTTCCCTTTAGTACCATAATCAACGAAAGGGCAAATGCTCTGCATGGTGCCATCAAAGATGTTAAGGAGCAGTGTTACGATGGGTGAAGATTGGTAAGATGCTGAAAACGTGGGTAGTGTAATGCAATCCACAACAGAATTTACAGTCTGCAATCTACAGATGCAATCGAGTCTGAAGATGAAAAAGGAAGAAAGCATTTAGTGCTTGAAAACTTCTATCCTATGGTAATTTTGCGCAAATAGGGTACCGTACCTTCCACAGGAAATAGAGTACAGATGGAGAATCTACGACGTAGGCCTTAGCCAACCTCTCCGGATAATGTTCATTGAGGATCCTCAGCGTTCCGAGTATCGTACTCGATGAAGGAGAAGTCAGCTTTGCGTGGCCTGCGAAGAATTCCACATGATTTGTCATCTATCAAACGTTTCGATGGTCTTCTCAAGGCCGAAAAGCGCAGCTTTGAATTGCTGCAAAAGTTCCAACTGGAACCCAAATCTCTAAAAAACCTTGCGAAAATAAGCCACAAGATCTAGGATGACTGTAGGGCGTAGCGCACGACTACTAAGCCTTCATGAAAAAACGGGGAAGAGATTGAGCTAGTTGTTCAAATACAAAACCACCAGCCAAATCAAAAAATCGAGGACGCCTTGTACGGGGACACGACAGGAGATTCGATGACTTTGAACGACCCAAATACTGGGGAAAAGAAACGTTTTGCATCATTCCTTCGATATAAAAAGACATTCCATGGATGGCCAAGTCCTAAATATAAAACATTACGCAGAAGATACAGTAATGTCCGGAAGTTCGCACCCGAGTACAACGTAAAGTATCAAAAAGGATGGGAAGACCACATCGTACACTTCGTGAAGTTGATGACTTACCCATATCGATGACAAGAACCCACTGATCTACTCCTGGTCCCATGGATGCCACGGCAACCTCCATTGTGAATATGAGATATCGCAAGTACCTTCGCGAGCAACGATTTCACTCCAAATCAGAAAGCAATAGATATGAGAACTTGCCGCTTCTACAAAACTTCAGGCATCGTGAAAAGGCTGGTACTAGTTGATCTCAAACAAAATGACTACAGAAACTTTCCACAGATTATGTGACCAATCCTTCCACCCGAAAAATACAGAGCGTGGCCATGCCAAGCGCCTCCCTGACCCCAAACTGACCAGCCCACTCCAAAAAAGGTTGGAGATTTTCCAGCATCGATGCTATGCCTCATACGACAATCGATTTTTTGGGCCATGTTGTCGATGAGATGGTAACATTTGAGCCCTTATAGCTAAACCCTTAAGGCCAGACAGCATATGGCCCCAAAGCTTTGACATTGTTCGGAGTTTCCGAGCAATATATGAAAAACACATATTTGTACACTCAACACAGACTAAAAAAAACCTGGCATTGCCCAGGACAACTGTGATACGAAGAAAATATCACATTTACAAACACCCAAATCTGGGATGAGGAGAAACCCACTGTTTCTGAGACCAAGCGCCATATGTGAAGTTCTTCCTCCGTACAATCTGATGCCACAGGGTACAAAGTAGAGTGACAAATTGTGTTAGTTTCTACAATGTAACCAAGTATTCTAAAACAAGATAACACAGAAGAGACAATTTCTGAGATTCAAGAGACAAGCTTTCTTTCTGCGGATCAGGTGTAACGTGGGCTACATCTTCTATACTCAGTCCTACTGAGAGGGACCGGAATCTGGGGAGGTGACGGAACAGAAATAGGCTTATAAAGAGAGTGATGTAAGGTATCCGGAAGTAAGAACCGCGGTTATGTGATAGTTATCGAGCTGAGAGAAGTTACACTCTGGTTCGACGAGTCTCGAAAATATGCCACCTTCCGCAATCTTAGAGTCTCTAAACCACAGGTCTGGTCAGTTAGAGGGTACAGACTTGGGGCTGCCGAAGGTACTCGATACAGGGAAGCAACATCAACGATTTTGTTTCATAGTTTTTGTCCAGAAGTGCTGTAACAGAAACAAAGAGGGTCAATATAACGATGCTGACCGAGTGCTTCTGCAGGGTGACGTTCAGGTTGCAGGCTTCAGATTTATTGCTGGGCTCTTTCATTCAAGACCCACACAATTTATTTCGTGTCTGTTTGCAGGCAGCTTCGACGGTGGGTATTCAAAGCTCACAACCGACGTTGTTCCAATATCCGTCTCGGATAAAACGCTGCGCTTTCTCGTGCGACGACTGACCGCCAGCGTCGCTGAGAAATTGGTTCGTCGAGTTTCGTTGGGCAGAGTGAAGTGATAGAAAAATTTAATGCAGCTGATCCAGGTGGGTAGCACAAAGGGTATTGCGTACGGATATGCTGGCTTACCACAACTGGACGGCCTTCGTTATCGTGGCCAGCGACGTAAGAAACACCCGACGCAAGCTCCGCCGTAAACTCGTCGGCTATTAAATAATCTGTACTCATGACAACACCGCAGTCCAGCGCACCATTCAGAAAATTGAGGGGCACTATATACAACTCTACCAATGCTGCCAGTTGGTGCGGTGATATCAGGAGGAAGACGTCTCCAAGGCTGGAAGTCGCTGGGCCTTACCGACGTCGAAGTTCTCGCGCCAGGCAAGAGTAGCCTTGAGTAGCTTAGCAGCCCTACGGACATTGTATCCACGCGCTTTCAAGTAACGCTCGACGCATGCATCATCACAGAATTCGAGCTGCGCGACGAAAAGCCCATTGTCAGTTCATTAGAAATCTCACGACCGCGAAATGCACTTGACTGTGACACTCGGCCAACATGCTCGCTCACTCATACACAACAATGTGAGTACAACAAGCGTATTAAACAGGAAGCAGAAGCAGCGAGACAATCTCGTCTTGTGGCTCGTTCACCAATGCCGTCTCCTACGAGCCTGCCGGTGAGCAAGATAGATCAAATTGCCAGCCAGACCGAGCCCACCCACGTCGGGAACGTCAACCAACCCCAATAAACGATCACGGCAATGTGCACTAAAATTTTCAAACACACTAAACGCCTCACGTAATCACGTCGGAACTGCTTCCTGTGACCCAAAGTAGACTGTGAAAATTCTGCTCCGTAAGACACAAGTCCCAAAATTTCAGCAGACTACTCGACCCGTTTGCGAGAATTTCTCTCAAAGAGTTGGACAGGTGCTTGTCACGTATGCGAGCACGAGCTTGACGAAAGAGTCCCATTCGCAGGCTCCGAGTTCGCAAACACAAGAAATCGAGCGCGGGCAATTGACAGGGAAGAAAATGGTGGAGAAGGGTCGACACCTGTTTCTTAGTGAGCGGGCCATCTTTCCGGATCAAATGCAGCACAGCATTGATTCTCTCCTTGTTGCCACGGAGCGCGTGTGCATCTCCAGCGACAGCAGAGACGATGCTACTCATCTAGACTTACCACGGGCATTTGCGCGAGAGCTTACACTCCCGAAACTCATAAACCAGATTTAAACCGGCACTAGCGGCGCACACCATAATCCTCCGGGGGATTTCCCACAGCACTGGCAGCAGCAGCAGCAGCAGCTCCTCTACCTCCGCACTCACAAACAATAACGACATATGGGTCCCCGCCAGAGCGCGCAGGAGTTGTTGCAACAACAGCAGCGGATGCTAATAAAACCGGCGTCGCTGTAGCAGCTGCACATGCAGCGACGCACTGTTGCGATCCACCAGAAGTGTCCTTGCATCGCTCTCCTCCGCTTCGCTCTCGCCTCGCATCGTCGTCGTCGTCTTCCCCGCTGCTGCTGCTTCTTCGTCGTCGTTCGCTTTTCGTCGACGACCGTCCCGTCTCCCCATCATCAACACCCACCGGTCCCTCTGGGCCCCCTCCGCTCTTCTTCCTCGGCTTCCTTGTCTCTCGGTCTCTCCCCGCCCACCAACCCCGAGCCCCGCGGCTCCCGTCGCTTTCCCGTTCCCGCATTAACGCCGTTCCATCCAGCCCCATGACAACAACATCCACCCACCCACGCGTCGCCGGCGAGATTCGCCGTAGTCCCCATTAGCCTTCGGCTCGACGCCCCTAGGTCCGCCAGGCGAGTCGCTTTACTCGCAGTTCTGTCAGTCGGTCCTTGAGAATCACATCTCCTGCAGGGCTCGCCCCTGTTCCCGGCTATGTCCAGCGCCGGGACACCTCCAGCTCCACTTATCGCCTGCAGTCCCGCTAAGTCCTGTGCCGCGAGTGCCCTCTCGGGTGCTCACCGCGGTCCTGATCCGCGGATTTCGCGCCGACCCGCTACCTTTTCCCTCGGATCGGTCCAGGCACACGGCACAGAGTTCTCGCGGAGATCTACTGGCTCAACCGCGGCGCCCGATTGGATGCGATTGGACAGGCTCGCAGCCTACGGCACAACCGGGTGCGCAGTTAGTGCAGGAGTGAATGAATGCCGCGGGGCCCTCCGGAGCGGGACTGCGGGACAGTATCGCCGGTCGATCCCAACGAGGGCTAGGACGTAGGTCCTTGTCCTGCCCGCCGGAGGGTAGGGCTAAGTCCTTGCTTTTGAATTCCCGACTGCCTTTGTCCCGGCCTTGTCTGCTGGCATTCCTGGCCCGGCACTCCGGGGCAATAAATGCCCACCCGCGCCTACCTTTTCATGTTCGGGCTTTGGGGTGGGCTTTATCAAACCGGCTTCAGGTCCACTCTGAACATGTCGGGCGTTCCCCGGGACAGTTAAAGTTACGAGACCCAACATACCGGAGAGCCTGGACGCTGGATCGCGCGTTGCCGACGTGATCGACGGACCTGCAGTCGATGCCCACGACTGCAGGTCCACCTGTCCTACACGAACTAAGCTAACCCTGTACTTTCTTTAATTGCCCTCACCTTAATTCGCTTAAGTACAGCGTAATCTCCATAGTCTGGCGTACAAGGCGTAGCCGGAGGAAGGAATCTGGTCGTATCTGGTCCTAGCACGGTGTCGCTAGATTGAGACAATCCCCTCGGTACAAGTATTACGACGTATTTCTGTAGCACCGTATTAATGTAGCACCGGTAATTTACGACATGCCGGAGAGAATTTTTAAGAGGAGGAGACGGATTTCATTTCGTCTTAGTCCGCGACCCACTGAGCGGTACAAACGGTTTCCTCGTTGGCACTTTAACTCGGGAAAAGCTGTGGGAACGGACCTTTTTTAACCTTTTTTATTCCCAAGGATCGGAGGACGATGAACGAGTCCGTTCCATCATCGTAGACGACGAGAACCGAAGGTATAACGTCTACGAAGTTTAATGTCCTTCTGACGACGTCCGAATGATGGATGGGTGAGAGTGGACAATACAGCTGCGCATTATATTAATTGTGTACCACCTCGGTCTGCTCCTACCTACGTATGATGAGAGAGCCGTCCTTTAAACTAGGCTTGGCCACGGTCCGGTCCGGACCGCCGGTTAACCGTCGGGACCGGTTAACCGGTCCGGGAAAAAAATTTACTCTGGCAGCAGAATCAGACTAGCGAGGTACCCATTTCGTGATTCAGTGTGAGAAAATTAGCGAGAGATTTTTTTCACAAATTGGTACAATTCAGCTCGAGTCTCTGAACGTCGAACCGTGGATTCATTTGAGTCACGGCCCACCTCTTTCCCTCCGCCATCGAGAATTTTTGGGTATTAAGCCATTCCCCATCGGCCACGTAGGGGTCCGGACCGATGGTTAATCGGTTAACCGTCGGGACCGGTTAAAAATATCGGTTAACCGTAACCGATACGGACCAATCCTGGACCGGTTAATATACCGGTTAACCGGTTAATTGGACAGGTTAGCCGGTCCACAAATTTTCCGGTTAACCATTAACCGGACCGTGGCCAAGCCTACTTTAAACCTCCGAAGTTTTCAACCCGAGCGTGATACTGTAATCATATCGAGCTCTTTGAAAAGGAGATAGATTTGCTCTCAATTTCTCTCATGCCACCTGGAAGTTTCTCTATCTGACCTCTGCAACTGCCTTTTCGAAGCCTAATCGCGTCAGCCCGTGTAGGTGGCGCCAAGACAATTCACGTCGCTCGTTTTGCATGAATTTTCGGCCCATCTCATCGCTCACTTGTATGTACTTCTCAGCTATGTCCCCATTGCTGTACTGTAGGAACACTGGCCATAACATGGCACAGACTCAAATCGATAAAGATCCGTACTTTTGCATATTCTTCATCGGCAAGTCAAATTTTGCCATAAGAGTTTTGTGAATGACTTCCTTGTGAGGAACATAATCAATGGTATCCATCCGACTCTCTCTAACTGCAACCCGGATAGGTGGAAACTCACGAAGATCTCAAAAATTGCAAGTCGAGATGTTTCTCCCACGGAACTATGGACTAGCTTCTGTGTTCAGAATTGCACACTTACGGATAAGATTATTCCTTTGCATTTCCCTTCCAACTTATTCATCAAAATCAACGACAATCTTATGTGGTCTGTACAACGATCCCATTCTTTACAAAGTTCACATGCTTGACATCAAGACGCCTCTTGCACGTCCCTATTTAGCACAACCAACTCTTCCGCTAATTTTCACCTCCTCGACAACATAACTTGTTAACTCAATCATGCTTCGTGTGGTTCACCATCTGCAGGGAGTATTTGCATCTAGTGGAATGGCTGTTTGGAAAGGGAAAAATTAGAACGGGAATTCCTAACGTCCACTACCACTAAGTTGCTCCTCTCACTGCCAAAGCAGTCTTTTGTTATTTGCATTCAAAATATAAATATGTAATTACTTACCCACATATCTACTTGCATAAATATTCGTTTGAATAAATTTTCATCAATTTATATATCATACATTTTGATATAATTATTAAATAAAATATTTATTTAATAACAAAGATTGAAAGTGTTTATGGATTGTTTCATTTTGTTGGTTTGATGTGCTAGCGAGATTGCGTACTTTAAAGTGGTATATATAGGGGGTTCTTTTGGTTCTCTCCTAGTTTGGAGTTGGATTGTTTGTATTGTGTTTTTTAGCCTTTTGACCCTTTGGGTCCCACGGGCTTGATCTATTTACCATTTATATAGTTCATTGATGCAATATAATGTAAGATGCATCAAATTGTTATGTTTGTGTTGAGGTTAACTCTGGTTAAGGAGTAACCTCACGTTTAGCTATTTATAGCTGAGAGTGGTCACCAGTGTTGGGTATATATACCCATGGTCTGTGTGTTACTTGACACAATGTTCAGTATACTATCACAATGGTATTCCCCGTGGACGTAGCCCTTGAGAGGATGAACCACGTTATATTATGTATCTCATGTTGATGGATTGCTTTGAGTATCAAGTTTTACGTTTACAATTGGTATCAGAGCTAGTTCTGGTTCGGACTCTGTGTCACAGGGTTTTTTCTGATATTGGTTTTTGGTTTTGACTTGTAGTGAATAAATTGTTTCATATAGTTTGTCTACTCATGGTTTTTTCATTGACAGTCTCCACTGACGGTTTCTAAAAAGAGATGAAGATTACAGAAAACCTACAGAAGTTTGACGGTGACAGTTTCCGACATGTGAAGGTTTTATGACAAGTGACACGTTTTTGACAGCGTTTGTGAAGTTTGTGACAGTCTGTGGTAGTCAGAGTTTCAGACACCGAGGTCGGTTGGTCGGTTTGTTGGTCGCAGCAGCGGTGCATTTTGGCATCTGCGTTCCACCACAATCAATTTGCACATCAAATCCGTGTGTGAAGAAGAGTGTACCGCTAACTAGTTTAGAGCTGAAGCTTTGAACTTTGAATCCCACCTCCCGAGTACGTATGACTTGCTAGCCTGCGAAAAAAATCATGCACGGTACCAGCAAGTGAAAGCAGCTCACGGCGTTCTCGACGCGCAGTTTGATCTATTTTAAAGGAAATCAAAACAATTGTGCGAGTTTGTCTTCCAGGCTTAAGCGCAGATTATTTTCTAGAGAGTCCTGATTCTGCTCATTCTAAGCTTTCACTCCTCTACTACAGCTTTGATTTTACAGATACATTCATATTATGTTCTTCGGATTTTGGTGCCGTTTACCAACGGATTAGTCTCTAGTAGCTCTAAGCACCCATTTAAACAATCGAGACATTCTCGAGTCCGAGTGGAACGGAAGCTTAGGTACCAAAGCGTCACATTGCATTGAGAGAGAGAGAGGAGTTGAGTTGGCAGGGAACGAAGGAAGAGTAACGAGGTTTATTCTGTTTGTGTTCGACGGCGATAAGTTATCATGATACGGGCCAGCACGTGGAAGCGCAATTGCAGCTTTGCCACCATCAAAAGCATTTTCCTTGTGTGCGGACGAGGTGGTGTCTCAGAGGACGGGCTAACAGTCAGCGAGCAGTAGCCACATTCTCCGAGAGAGAAAAAGTGTGGGGGACGTTGCAAATAGTCTCCACGAAGCTCTTTGAGCTCGAACTAAAACCACCATCACCAAGGCGTTGCAAGTGTAACTCAGGGCTGATCAGGCACGGTTGTCAGATTTGGCAACCGTCTTCATTCTCTGAAATTGTAATCGACCCGCAGATTGTGTAGAACGCGTCGATGATGGATTTTTGATTAGTTTTCACTGGTAGACATCTACGACTTCAACAACTACATCCGGCAGCATCAGACTCAAAGTCTTCTATGTTCCTCTGAAAGAAACGATAGGGACGAGGTCGATTTCAGATCCTGCTCTTGCGCAATAAGTTTGTCTGGGTGGCTGGCTGCAGACCGTAATGCAA